AACACTTTGCCTTCAGAGCCGCGTCACGAATCGAGAGGTTCGGATTACGCTTGAAATAATCCAACACCTTCCGGGCCTTCCCAGGGTCAGCTGTCTTCGTTTTCTTCCAGCCCGCCGCTCGGTCGTCTGGGACTCCTTAAACGATTTTACCACCCGAGACACAGTTGTATGGGTGATTCCCAGTTGTCTTCCGATCCATCTCATGGTCGCAGTCGGATTTTCCATGACGGCGCGCAAAATTCTCCGGCGATTTTCTTCTTGGTTCGATGACATCTCATAACCACTGAACCGATTGTTATGAAATTTTGCACATGTAAACAATTCACTCCAAACTTGTTATACCCAGATTTTCATCAATTTTTACCCACGGATAAAAAAGTAAAAATAGTGCATTATTTTCGAGTACAAGCCTGGTCCAGTCGTCGGTCGTCCGGTGAGAACTGCTTAAATCGCAACGCTCGTGTTGGCCTCGACCATTTTCCGTCGTCAATTTTGGAAGTCAGCAAATTTTCCATATCGCTCGCTTGCTAACTCGCCCCGGCTAAGTGATGAAGCTCCAGAGAAATCACGTCTGCCATGGTTAGGTTTCTAATAAGCTTGACTTCCATGATCTTCGGGACATCCGTTGTTGAATTTTCGTGTTGAATGTTGACTTTGGCTAATCTGTTGGACAAGCTATTGATAAAAATGGCTATGCCAATTATGATTAATGGAAAAGCTATTCCTTCGAACATGGTTATCTCTGGCCAGTGAAAACTATTAGTTTGTAGTTTGAGAAATTCCAGATCATTTCTGATTTACAGGTGAAACATATGGAGATGTTCCAGGTTCAAGATGATTAAGAGGTGTTCGTTTTCTACAGATATGCCATCTAGTGGAATCTGTAAAGGTGAATCATGATGATGATGATGATGATGATGATGATGATGATGATGATGATGATGATGATGATGATGATGATGATGATGATGATGATGATGATGATGATGATGATGATGATGATGATGATGATGATGATGATGATGATGATGATGATGATGATGATGATGATGATGATGATGATGATGATGATGATGATGATGATGATGATGATGATGATGATGATGATGATGATGATGATGATGATGATGATGATGATGATGATGATGATGATGATGATGATGATGATGATGATGATGATGATGATGATGATGATGATGATGATGATGATGATGATGATGATGATGATGATGATGATGATGATGATGATGATGATGATGATGATGATGATGATGATGATGATGATGATGATGATGATGATGATGATGATGATGATGATGATGATGATGATGATGATGATGATGATGATGATGATGATGATGATGATGATGATGATGATGATGATGATGATGATGATGATGATGATGATGATGATGATGATGATGATGATGATGGTCCCACCTCACCCTACAAAGGTTTGAGTTGGACGATTTATCTTTAAGATAATTAAATATGAAAATTTAACCAGGTTTGCAAACAAAATCGAACTGGTTACAGTAACAGATATAAATTCCCTCTAGAGTTTACCATTGATTCACCTCTTAGTTCGCTTTTTTGTCTAAAAAATTAATAAGTATTACAAGCAATCAAGAGTTAATGAACAATTAACAAAGCATCCTATTACACTAGCAACCCCGCAATCTGATGCTATCATAATTTCCAGCAATGTCAGGAATGCTCACGAACCCCTGACATATGTCAGAAAACTTACTACTAACTCAAGGTATCTTCCAAATAGGCTTCAAGATTGCATTTTTTTTATCAAATTTTAAATTCAGTCCTCTATATCCGTAATACGCGCGCGAGGCTCAATAATCGAAACTGATACATTTTAATGATATAATTTTTGATTTAATACCTGTACTTCCCTCGGAATTTACTCACTAGATGGCGCTTAAACAAAAATGATCAAGCTGTGCCATTTTAAATATACATTATATAACGTTATCTACAGATCCCGTTCATATGGATGGTATCCGTCTTCAGCAAAGTTGTGCAGTTGGACAAACCCTTTCTTAAGAAAAAGAGTTTAGTTCAGGATTCACATTCGCTGATGTGACACTCATTTTGAATTGCTTGTCACAATTTAACACGTAACCAATAGCTCATACCGTAGTAGGCTGTGTATAAAAGAAAATGATTTACTTAGTTTGACAGTTGCTCCATGACGAAGTGGCAGCGTATTCGTGATTTGCCCCACACGCAAATGTCGCAAAAAGACATTTCAATCGCCGTGAGAGTGGGGTTTTTCAAAAGGGTTTTTGGACCGAGAAAAGAAAGGACAACTATCCGCGAAGGTGGCCACAGGTCGTCCGAGGTCAGGTCGGGTTCCGCGGGGTTATCGCTGCTATCAAAAGGAAGATTCGGGTGAATCCAGTGCGTTCAATAAGGAAAATGGCAAAGGAACACGGGATCAGTGACTTTACGGCACGCAAGATCGTAAAGGAAGATTGCGGGACGAAGTCGAGGGCACGGAAAAAAAACTCACATGTTTACCAACCGCATCCGGGAGCTACGAGTCGAACGATGCAAGAAAATCTTGAACTTCCTTAAGCGAAAAAATCCAGTAATCCTGTTCACCGACGAGAGCATGTTTACCGTTGATCCTGTATCAAATTCCAGATCCGACCGGTATACGAGTTCTCTTCCGGTAAAAGACGTGGCCGACGAGCACAAGAACGTGTATCTGACCAAGCATCCTGCTAGCGTTATGGTGTTTGGATTGGTAGCTTCCGCGGGCAAAAAAATGGACCCGGTGTTCATTCCAGAAGGCGACAAGGTCAACACGGAGGTCTCCCTCGGGATTTTAAGTAAGTATGTTCTTCGGTGGACCAAAGAATAGTACGGGACGAAGCCAAATGTCTTATTTCAACAAGATGGGGCTCCGTGCCACACCTCGAACCGCACTCAGAAGTGGTTGCAGGAACATCTTCCGTTCTGAGCGAAGGATATGTGGCCGCCATCCAGCCCCGATCTTAATCCGCTTGATTACTCAATATGGCGCGTCATGAAGCGTGTGGAGGCCGTACTTGCAGCAAGTGGAAACTCGATCGATGATTAACATAGTTTAAGACTCCGAGAAACATCCCCCCTTTGAATAAATAAAAAAAATCTCGAAAACGAAATTTTTGAGAATTTTTTTAATTTTGACATTGCTCAATGGTGCAAACATTATCACCCATACGGTACACTGTTAGCACACTCGATTTTAGCTCTAGTTTCAATAAGTGCCTACTGCGATTAGATACTCCAGTATTTAGTCTTTAGACCTCTAAATTAACAAAAAGTGATCTTTTTTCTTTTTTTTTCCTTGATTTGTTTTCCGTTTATCTTGTTACCTTGCAAAGCACCAATGCTACCAACGCCAGGGAGGCAGCTCCCACACCTATCGACCCATCCACTCATAGACCGGGGATGAGCGGCTTTATTTCCCTTCCGAAGGAAGTCGTGATCAGAGTTTTTATGCCTCAGAAAATCCTGGCAGTGTCGACTGGGATAGAACCCAGACCTATTGAGGTGAGAGGCAATCACGCTTACCACTACTCCACCGGCACTGCTAAAAGCGTGATCTGATATTTTATCAAAGCGACTCAGACTCATTCCGCTTTACTCATCTTGAATCACAGTGACACCAATAAGTTCATGATATATTTATATATACTATGATTCTCCATTAGTGCAAAAACTTGTTCATCTACCCTACCCCATAATGATTAAACATCAATGAACACGGTTGCTGCATCCCGTTGGATCTTTTCTGGCAACGGTTTGGAACATTATACCGTATTATGTCACTTTCTCGTCCATTATCGTAATTAAAAGCACTTTACGAGTATCATCACCAACCATTTATCTTCGTCGTTTGTTTCTACGCTCGGCTCAGAGTGAAATGTCAAGTGGAAACCCCGTTTATGCAAACAATCACTGACTCTGTTCAACGGATCGCAAACGCTATGGTGGTCCAAAACAGTTTTAAATCTTATCATAAAGCAGCATCTTTCTGTAACTCAAAATTCTACCCATGGATTTAAAGCTTATCCACGTACTACAAAACAATTTCCACAAAATCAGCAACTACACTGCAATCGGAACGATCATCCAGTAGAAGACACAAAGAAAACCCAGCCGAACGAAATATAAAATACGTACAAGCTTAATTGCAAGTCGTTTCCATTGTCCTCTTCTAGAACACTATCAAGTTCTTGATGGAGTGGGAGAAAAAGCATTCCTGCAATAATCGCAAAGCATCATGGTCGGGCACAATACGATCTCAAGCACAAGTGCTGATATTTTACAGCGAAAATAACGGAACTGACCTGATCCAGCAACAACAATTTATCCCCTTCCGCATCCGCTAGAGCTAAATAAGCGAGGTAGTTAGCTGGCATTTATCAAATTGGGCTAGTGACGGGTTAGATTGAACCTTTTTTTTTAACGACGATATCGATTTCGTCTGGAGCCACCATCGCCACGAATCAGTATCAACTTACATTTCGTGTACAATCACAATTCTCAACAATAGCACAAATCCATCCCATCTGCTCCCCCTCACGCTATTCACCCGATTTACAGCATAAAGCAATTGCAATGCACAACCACAAGAGAGACCAGCTTGATATCAAAAGGGATGCAATTCCACAATCGAAGCTTTGCATGGAAATTCCTTTTGTTCGTCATACTAAAACTAGCAATTTCAGCTCTGCTATGATCTATGGGAACATATTTCAACCCGGTCTGTACAGGGGCATTCCATATGCATTTGTGGACACATATTCACTGGGGCGTATAATTGAAGATGCTATGCTAGCAATATGAAAAAGCAATACAATCGATAACCAACCCCTATTGCGCCCGTCAACAAGCCAACAACGAGCAGATGTATTTTCAATTCGATACAAAGTGAATCATTATTGAAACATAGTGATGCGCAATTAACGGGAAAATTTGCTTTATCATTTCAGCTGGCCTCGAGGAGGACTGCGTGGACTTTCAGGGAAACTCGGTGGCGCACGGTCTGCTGTACGTACCCGGACCGGGCGTGTGCAGTCTGTGCGTGTGTTACCACTCAGAGCCGCTCTGGTGCAAAGCAATCTACTGTGATCCCCCCTATGTAAGTACCCAATAACTCTCACCATTATAACAAAAGGACGAAATTCGATGACAATTGGGTGGGTTGATGTGTTTGGTCAGATTGTTTCCCGGGTATAGTGACCACTCTCAAGATCTGACCAGATCTTCATGGGATCGATAAAACGGGAGAATCCATTTCATCTTTTTGGTATCGTTGGATCTGGGGTCACTTTGTGCTTCTCGTAACGAAACACTTTTTCTACGAACGTTTGCATGAAAAAAAAATTCGTTTCTAAATGCGTAATTTCGCCCCTGATCAGTTGCAGTATCTTTTATTTTTATGATTTTGCTAGTACGTGGTAGTGTTGTTAATTGTTCGTGAAGAACGATCCGTAAATCGGTAAAATTGTTTCCATTGCGTTGATTAGTGTTAAATTTAATGACCAAAAACGGTCATTCAAAAAGCTTTTTTTTTTAAAGTGAGACAACAAATTTAGAATCCGTCGTATTTCTTCGGCACCAAAAAAAAACCCTAAAATTTTGGACACTCCATTGAATTCTATGGTTGGCCCGTAGATCCATAGTAAATCTAAAAATTCGTAGATCTACGGATAAACCTGTAGAACTGACCACACTGGAACGAAGTGAGCCTGAGTGATGACACCGCTTCTTGTTTTGATTTGCGCTGTACCGTCAGCTCAGTGGTATGAGTTTGTACATGTATAGATGTTGGTGTGCGTGTTTTCTTCCAACACTGCAGTTCAACGTTGTACCGTCTCAAACCGTTTGGCGCTGTTATCTGTCTCTGTAAATTCCAAAGAGTGCTTTTATACAAAATATCTCGATTACTTTTTCTAAGGGACCTATCAGCTTTTGTAAACAATGCATTTTATCGTCGGTTTGGCGTAACTACTGGCTCACCCACGCATACTAACACCACTATCACATAGGGGGAAATTTCCCCTGTCTGATATGGTGCATATGGTGATATATATCAAATTTCAAATATCTCTAATTAGTAAAATAATCCATTTCTCAGCTAGGTGAACAGGTTGATTGACGTATGAATTGTTCTACATATTCTTACATCACTTCAACATGCAGCACTACAGTCTCTTCTATGAACATTAGGGTGCCAATTAATGTATGGTCAGCAATTTAACCTCGAATTTTCAGAACATGGCATGTTCAAAATGCGTGTTTCCTCGGAAAAGACCCTGTGCAAAACTTGGGCTCAATCGGACGTGATTTAAGCTGCCGCAAAATTGGCAAAGCTTGAGTTTTTAGAAAATCTAATAATCACCTACATGATATTTCGCAAATCGATTTTTAATTTTTGTTGCCATGACATAAAAATGCATGGAACGTCTAGATCTGGTGTTTATTTTTTGTTAAAAAACAACTTTCTGGGACTTTGAATTTTTCCATGAGAAATGGATCATTGATAAATTGGATTCTAAAAATATTCACAACTATTTTCAAACTACTAAAATATAACTTAAAATATCACAAGCATCTAATACATGATGCTTTACCATGAAGGTTGATTTATAAAAAAAAAAAAACATTTATTTGAGCAAAAATCAAAACTGAACCACATTCTTCTAAAAATGAAATGGAAATTGAAATACTTTCCATAAGAGCAACACCGTTATTTCATTCCCATCTGGAACAAAAATTCTTTATGTAATATTTCCCTAGGGTCGTTTGAATTACTTCAGGCGTGAGGCTTGCGATTTACATAGTTGGAGATGCCCAACGACAAATATCATATTAAAGTGTTTCTTATGTAAAAAAGGATGGGAAACAAGGTGGTGCACTAAAATTGAAAATTTAAATTGCGGTTGAAGTTTTCAAACGTGAATTAAACATATTTATCAATACTGTTTAGGAATAATAGTTGCAAATTCAACGGGCAAAGATAGATAGCCGCCTCCTATGGAACGTCAATGAGGACCCCATGGGTAGCGATCATTACCCAATCATGATTCGGCTAAACTCCAAGCCCGCAGAGGACACTCGCCGACCGAGAGGAAGTGATCCTCCAAGCGGCCTCTGAAACAATCCCACGAAGTACCCCCAACTTGAGCCGTCGAGCCCTCCCCTGGCTGAGTTCCACCACCAAGGAAGCGGTAAGAGCAAGGCAAAAAGCTCTCAGAGCAGTCAAGCGACTACCGTTGGAGCATCCCAGTAAAGAAGCTTCCTTGGCTCTCTACAGGTTAAAACGAAACGACTGCCGTCAGACTATACGAGAGGCAAAGCAACAAAGCTGGGAAAATGTCCAGAACGGCATCAGCCTAGAGTATTCAGGAAGTGAGATATGGGGATGAATCGACACGATCAGCGGGAGAAGGAGGAGTAAAGGCATGACACTATAACACTTAGAAACTATCACCCGGGACCCGGCTGTCATTGTGGGCATCCTCGGCGAACATTTTCCGGACTTCTCCGCCATCGGATACTACAGCGAGCACTTCAGTCGAACTAAAACAGCATCAACACAATCAATCGCCAACATCACCAGCCCTGAAGAACCTGTAACTTCAAACATCAACCAGCCGGACGAGCTCAACCTTACTTTATCCAAGGCCAGGGGAAATTCAGCAGGCCCAGTGGAGGTAGGTTACATCCTCTTTCAAAACGTCCACTCGGCTGGAAAACTAAAGCTCTTAGAGCTATTCAATCAAATTTGGTCCGAAGACTCCATCCCTCATGGATGGACACCAGTGTTGGCAAAATCATCAATCAAATTATATTTTCCGCTCTCATACGCTCTCAATATCACGCGTGATATTGGAACAAAATATCATGCTTGATATTGATTTTACGAGCTCCTTTGATATTGCGAGACTATTCACAACCTGCAAAAATCAAGCGGATACACAGCAAAAAAATAATTTTGATATCACATCAAAGTGGATGCACTACAATCATGTCGAAAATTTCATGTAATTTTTATGACCACATAAATAAACAAATGCAGTAAAAGCAGCGTAATGTCAGTTCATGCATTGTATTAATGATAATTTTGTCCTTTTTAGCAAGTAATATTACACCATATTTTCGACATGATTGTAGTGCATCCACTTTGACGTGATATCAAAATTATTTTTTTGCTGTGTAGTTGACTAGACACAAAAATGATTCCATTGCACATCGTTTTCTTAGAATAAGCAAGTATAGTTTGCTATGGCAGACACGAAGCGACTGCTGCCAGCCGTTCTGGAAGTTTCGGTTGCGTTCGGGTGGAAAACAAAAATCATTAAACTCAATCTCACCACAGTTTGTTGAGATTTACAGCTGGTGAGTTTTGTTAGCTTGATATTCCAAGCTGCGATATTACAGCTTGCAAAATCAACCGCAGCTGTATGCTTGTTGATTTTTGTCTACGAAAATCAAGCGTGATCTTGGGCATTGCTGAGATTTGATTTTTTGATATTTTACCAACACTGATGGACACATAGTCCCATAGTCCCCAAACCCGGAAAACCTGACAAGCAAGCGATGATTTCCGATCCATCTCCCTCATCTGTTGCGCCACCAAATTAATGGAGGGGATGATCAACAGGCGGCTAATGCACTTCCTCGAATCCAACGATCACCTCGACCACATACTTCCACTCACTCGGTCAAACCATACACGACGCCTTCTCTTCCGATCAGCACAGGTGCTCCTCAGGGCTCCGTTATCGCGGCCACCCTGTTCCTCATCCGAATGAACGGAGTTTTCAGCAACCTCCCGGAAGGAATATACATTTTCATGTACGCGGACGATATACTCCTGGTCGTAGCCAGGATCACGGTCAAAGCACTACGAATCTTCCTTGGTGTACCCACATGCCATTATCCACATCTGTCAGAAACTACTTTGATAGGAAATTATCCTTCTCAAAAACCTTTGACGAAACAAAGGCCAGCTGCAAGACCTGGATTAACATCCTGCGCACCCTGCAAGGCCGGCACCCAGACAGCAATCGGTTCACTCGACTCCATGTGGCCAAGGCCATTATAAACACAAAGCTGACATACGGCATAGAAATCACACGTCTAGCCCAGGACCATAATTTCGGACTGCATCGAAAGTGGCTCCCCACCTTTCGCAAGACTAATTACGAACACGATCTGCCGTAGAGCAATCAACCTGGACGCGAAGACTACAGGCGAGGGAGGGTTCCTCTTGATGGAGGCCAACCAACTCCTGATAAAGTGGGCCAGCCAAGAGCTCCCTTCAGTGAGCAGGGTTCACCTGGACCGATTACTCCATCAGAAAACAAGTTCAAGGCAAGTTCTAAATCGAAAAATACAATCTTCATACCATCCGCTACTCCGATGGCTCAGTGACCTGGATGAGTGTTGGCATCGAGATAACAGAATAGTTACCGACTCGACTAGTGTAGTGGAAGCTCTGCATTCATACCTCTCCGAACACCCGTGGATCGAAGACATCCACACCCAACATCACCTTTGTTTGGAGCGCGGATCATTGCGGGGTACGTGGCAACGCCGAGGTCAACCACCTGGCGGCCTCCGGCAAAGTGGGTCAACAAAGCTTCCAACGACTCATGGGCCTCCGCCCGGAACGATGCTAGAGAGCCTTTCATTCGGAAGGTTAAAGGGATATCTTCCAATGGGAGGTTCCTAAGAACCATCGAATGCAAGTAAAACTCCGTCGAACATGCCATCTGTCACTGCCCTCAATACGAGGGCCCACGCATGCTATACAGCATTGCTGGTAGTATCCTGGATGCCTTGATGGATGACCCGACAAGAACTGCGGCCCTCAACGGTTTTCTCCGAGAATTCAATTTAATCGACCGAACATGACACTACTTGCGACACTGAACCCCTTCACGAAGTCTGCTGTCGGTAATTTTAACGTTAAAACTGAATAGTACCACAAAGCATGAAACCCCGGCTACCCCCCTAAGGACAACGAACCAAACATTCAAATATACCACGACCAGACAAAAACTCGTATAAGCGATCAACGCAACGAAAATGACACCCCCAAGGTAAACGACCAGGCAATATCGACGAATA